GGGGGGGAGCGACCCACGGTAGGGCACTCTGGTCAGATGAACGGGCGCAGGGGAGGCTGGTGGGGGTCCGGTCCCATCACCTACCCAGCCAGTACTCCCCGTCGGCCCTGCCGAACCCGAACCGATAGTCGTTCCAGCCCCGGAAGAAGCTGACGGAGCCGTTGAAGCGCTTCTGGAAGACCTGGAGAGAGAGCGGGGTCAGACGCCCGGGGGAGGGGCTCCGGCAGGACGTCCCTTTCTGGGCTGCGAGGGCACCATCACCTACCCAGCCAGTACTCCCCGTCGGCCCTGCCGAACCCGAACCGATAGTCGTTCCAGCCCCGGAAGAAGCTGACGGAGCCGTTGAAGCGCTTCTGGAAGACCTGGAGAGAGAGCGGGGTCAGACGCCCGGGGGTTCCATCACCTACCCAGCCAGTACTCCCCGTCGGCCCTGCCGAACCCGAACCGATAGTCGTTCCAGCCCCGGAAGAAGCTGACGGAGCCGTTGAAGCGCTTCTGGAAGACCTGGAGAGAGAGCGGGGTCAGACGCCCGGGGGAGGGGCTCCGGCAGGACGTCCCTTTCTGGGCTGCGAGGGCAGTGGGGGCTAGTGGTTAGAGTGGGGAGCAGGTGGGATCCGGGACTCCTGGGTTCTCTCCTGGCTGCGAGGGCTGTGGGGGCTAGTGGTTAGAGTGGGGAGCAGGTGGGATCCGGGACTCCTGGGGTCTCTCCTGGCTGCGAGGGCAGTGGGGGCTAGTGGTTAGAGCGGGGAGCGGGTGGGATCCGGGACTCCTGGGGTCTCTCCTGGCCCCGGGAGGGGCATGGGGGCTGGTGGAGAGAGAGGTGGAAGGGCGCCTGAGGGGTTGACGCACCGTCCATTTCCCGTCGTCCGTGGTCATGTCGCAGTAGACCGGCACGGGGGTGTTGGGGCCCGCGGGGTAGATGAGATAGACCCCGTCCGTCTCCGAGCCCTGGTCGTAGATGTCATCGCAGTCCAGGGGGAGGGGCTCGTCCGCACACAACTTTTGCTCGGCTGCCCGGCGGAGGGGGGGGCGTCCGACCCGGCGAGGCCTAGCCCTGCTAGCAGGATCCACACGGCTTTGGACGGGACTTACCTTGCGTAAGGATGGCTTGGCCATTGGCCGTGGGCGCTGGAGCCAGCAGGAGGACCAGCAGCGGGAAATGGACCAGCAACTGGAGAGAGACAGACCCCGAGTGGGGAGCTTCAGAGTAACAATGGGGGACCCTGGAATTGGCCCCTCTCCCGGCTCTGAACGTCCCTCCCCTGTAGAGATTTAACGTCTAGTCCCACAAAGGTTTTGGGCTGGGGACTGATGGCGTTTTGGGGCTCCCCAAACCAGTAAGAGGACCAGCAGCGGGAAATGGACCAGCAACTGGAGAGAGACAGACCCCGAGTGGGGAGCTTCAGAGTAACAATGGGGGACCCTGGAATTGGCCCCTCTCCCGGCTCTGAACGTCCCTCCCCTGTAGAGATTTAACGTCTAGTCCCACAAAGGTTTTGGGCTGGGGACTGATGGCGTTTTGGGGCTCCCCAAACCAGTAAGACCCTGCTTCTGGGGGGTCTCATCGCCCTCTGAGATGGCCGGACCCTGATTGCCCCAGGACCACCTTGGCTTCATTCACATGCTCCAAATGTCCACTCCCCAACGGTTAATTCCCCCCCACCACCACCACGCCCGCAGCCACCCATGCCTTGTGTCCCGGCGGAGTTTGTTCCAGCTTTGACTGCCAGCCATCGGGCTGGGGAGCAGGCTGGACAGACACCTGTCAGGGATGGTCTAGACGGTGCTTTTGTCTCATTCCTGGATTTTAAGGGGAGCAGCCATATCACTGCTGCGCCTGGGGGGGGCTTTGTTTCAGAGTCTGTACAAAGGGGCCATGTGAGGTGTCCAATGGAAGCTCATGTCCTACTGATCCTGTGTGTGTGATTCATGTGCGCGTGTGATGTCTGTGTGGGGTTAGAAACATGGACTCTGTGTTGACGCTGGGAGATTCTCCGTCTGAGGCAGAGCAAGGGGCTAGGAATCGTCAGTCAGTAACTGTGCTAATTAGCGAGGCTCCAGGGACGAGGTTCTCGGAGAGGCCAGTACCCATCTGAGGAATGTGCCTGGGACCAGCAACCCAGCCGATATCATGGGGATACTGGGATCGGTCACTGGGCCATGTGACCCGCTCCAGCTTGGAAGAGACCAGGGATGGATATAAAATGCCACAAGGCGACTCCATCTTGTCTTCAGTTCTGCTTCTGATCCCAGATGCAGCCTTGCGAGGCACAGCGAGCCGGGAAGCACCGTGGACCCATCCTGGCATAGGATGTGCACCAGAGACTTTTACGCCAGCAGCCTGCATCCAGAACTGGGGGATTCGGTGCATGTCATGTGTTCTCCTGAACAACCTCACTCTCCGGCTTTTCTTCCTTTTCGTAATAAACCTTAAGGCTATGTCTACACTATGAGTTTTCTCCGCAAAAATATGCTCACGAGGAGTAACGGTAGAAAGCCTAGTTCGAACTGGGCTGGTAGTGTAGACATCCCCTATTCTCCTTCACAACCTCACTCTCAGGCTTTTCTTTCTTTTCGTAATAACCCTTTCGATGGTAGATGCTCAAGGACTGGCCCGGCGTGACCTCGTGGGTTAGATCCAGAGTGTACATTGACTGGGATTTGTGGCTGGTTCTTTGGGACTGGAAAGACCCGTTGGGGGTGGGTGAGATTGGGTCCTATAATGCCTCCCCTGTGTGTTAGGCCTGGGGCTGACTGTGGCACAGGGAGAGCTGGGCTGTCAGGGGTTTTGCTCGGAGTGCTGGTTTGTGACCTGTTTGGGAAGGCCACTGGTCAGAGGCTCTAAGGAGCCCTGAGTCGGAGCAATTTGCCCGGAGCGGATGCCTCGAGGTCCTTCCCAGTTCTAGTGCTCTAGGGTTCTATGATCTTTCTTTGCAACACTGAGGAGCCCGAACCGAAACACTAGACGATTCATCCGGCATTGCTCAGGTCCTTCTCTCAGGTCAGTTCTGTTTGTCTTCATTTTAATCATAGATGTGGGGCAGGGTTGTGGGGTGGGGGGTGGTTCATATGCAGGCTGCGCCAGGGAGAGAGGACAACCCCAGCCCTCCCTCACTGCAGCGGCTTGGGGCTTGGGGAGAAGCACTTCTCCAGGGCTGCCGCAGCTGCAGCGGGCACAGCAGGGGAGGGGGGCATGTCCCCTTGCTGGGGCAGGTCCAGGGTCATCTGCCCCCTGCGCCCCCCCAGCCAGAGTGAGGAATGCAGCAAACGGGGCACTTTCCCTTCGCTCCTTGCGGGTGGGCGGCTCAGGACTGAGTCTCTCTTTTCTGTCGGGTTTTGTGAGAAGCAATTCCGTTCCAGACACAGCCCCTTGTCCTGGCGCAACCAAACCCTGCCCTTGCTTTGAGCTGTGGTGAGAGGACGCTGCCTACCGAATTGGGTGGTCCTAGCGTTTACCGTTTAGGAGAAATTCTTGAACAAACAGATGGCTGGCCAGACAGACTCGCTCGCTCGCATGAACAAACAAACTCTCTCAAATATATAGTAGACTTGTTCCCATTTGGCCATTTATGGACTGGGATTAAGTCATCCCTGGATCTTCTCGTAAGTTAAATCAATCGACTTCCTGGAGCCTTTCACCACTAAGAATGGTTTCTAATCCGTGCTTCATTTTCATGGCTCTTCCCTATTCCCTTTCCAATTTATCAACATCCTTCTCGGACCGCAGACACCAGATCTGGACAGAGGATTCCAGTAGCGGTCGCACCAGGGTTGAAGATACAGGTCAAATAACTAAGGCTGTCAATGAATTGCGGTTCATTCCCATGATTAACTCAAAAACGGAATTGCAATTCCAGAAATGAGCCATGACTAATCGCTTTTTAACCGCACTGTTAAACACCGGAATGCCAAGTGAAATGCATTCGATATTTTTGGATGGGTTTCTGCCTTTTGAATTATATTGATTTCAGTGACAACACAGACTATAAAGTTCACAGTATGCACTTGACATGATTAATTTGTATTACAAATATTTGTACTGTAAAAAAGACAAAAGTGATAGTATTTTTCATCCTGCCTCATACAGGCACTGGAGTGCAATCTGTTTATTGGGAAAGGGTAAGGTGGGTTTTTTTGGTAAATAACGGCCCTTAAGAAAAAAGTAAAACTTTAGAGCCGACAAGTCCACTTAGTCCTACTTCTTGTTCAGCCAATGGCTCAGACAAATTTGTTTATATTTACGGGAGATAATGCTGCTCACTTCTTATTTCCCATGTCACCGGAAAGTGAGAGCAAATGTTCTCATGGCACTTTGCCTGGTATTTACATGACAGCTTTGCTAAACATACATGTGTCCCTTCATGCTTCTACAGAGGACATGCGTCCAGGCTGAGGATGCTCGTTAAAAAAATGTGTTAATTAAGTTTGTGACTGACCTTGTTGGGGGAGAACTGCATATCTCCTGCTCTGTTTTACCCACACTCTACCACATATTTCATGTTATTGCCGTCTCGGATGACGACTTGGCACATGTTGTTCATTCTTAGAACACTGTCACGGCAGATTTGACAAAACGCAAAGCAAGCTCCAGAGTGAGATTTCTAAAGATGGCTCCAGCACTTGTCCCGAGGTTTAAGAGCCTTCCAAAATCTGAGAGGGACGAAGCATGGAATGAGCTTTCAGAAGTCTTAAAAGAGCAACCCTCCGAAAGTACAGAACCCAAAGCACTGGAAAAGGAAATCAATCATTTGCTAGTGGCATTTGATTCAGATGATGAGAAGGAATGTAGGTCAGTCCACGCTGCTTTGGATCCTTATGCAGCAGAGCCCATAAGCAGCATGGCCACACGACTCTTTAGCACATCTGGCATGTAAATATTTTGTGATGCCAGCTACGACAATGCCATGCAAACATCTGTTCTCGCTTTCAAGGACCACTGTGAACACGAAGCAGGCAGCATTACCTCCCTCAGATGTAAACACACTTATTTGCTTGAGCCATTGGCTGAGCAAGCAGTAGGACTGAGTGCACTTATTTTTAAAGGCAATTCTTTTCGGCACATAATTTGAAGTTCAACTTTCATGAGGCAGAGACTGCATGACCGTGCACATAGGAAGTGACCGGAAAAACACCATTTACTTTTTGGTCTGTCCAGTGCAAATATTGGTCAGCACAAAGAAATGCAAAGGGAGAACCATTCTCTTTGGATTCTGGGCTGCAATTGATGTCTACATATTTGAAAATATAGAACCCCCGAATATGTAAATAACTGGCATTGTTCTCCTTAAAAGTGGGGGGGACCATGATTCCCCACCCCCACCTCTCCTCTTCCCCCTGAAGGCCCTGGCCTCCAGCCAAGCCAGGGCTGGGTGGAACATACAGGGCTCCTCCACCTCCCAGCCCATATCCCTGATCCTCATGCTTCCCTGCCCCGTCTGTTGCTCTCTGCAGCTGTGTGGGTTCTCCTGGCTGTCCTTGCCAGTGCCTGGTGAGTAGCAGGGCCGTGAGGCAGCTGCAAACTCTCCCAGTGAAGATGTTGTGTTCTCTTCCAAGTCACAGACACTAGTGTGAAATGGTGTAGGGCCAAAAACCGCCAGTGGTGGGACCCCGCTAGAAATGCACCTGCTCCGTGGAGATCCCCTGGGACAGTTAGAGACCTACCCGCTGGCCAGGATCTAACCCACAGAAAGTGGGGTATGGTCATTTGATACCAGGCTGGTTTTTCAGCCAATATACCTTGTGGTAGGAAGTCAAATGTCCGACAGTCTCTGTCTATTACCAGCCTCACGCTGCCAAACGCTTCGGAAAGAGATCAAGTCTGGCGGGGTCGATCCCCCACAAGCAGAGTGCTGGCCAGAGGGGGGATTGAGCCTGTGACCATGGGGACTAAAGCCACCAGCGTCTACTGCAGGAGCTACACACCGAGAAGCTGCCAGCTGCGGCTGTACAGCAACTGCTGGCTGTGGCTGTCAGTCTCCCTTGGTGGCGATCTCAGGGCATGTGGGCCGCGCGCTCGTGTTGATTGGAGCGAATGGGATTGATGAGCGAGAGAGCGAGGTGGGGAAGGGGGGGGCTAGACAGAGGTAGGTTGAGGGGTTGGGGAGAGAAGGGAACTAGCTACGCAGATCAAGAGAAGGGGATAGGCAGAGAAGGAGACTAAAGGGATAAGTTGTCAGGCAGAGGGAGGCTTGCAGGGCAGAGGTAGGCAGGGGGGTTATGGGATGGGTAGGCAGGGAGCTATGGGATAGGCAGACAGAGGAGATGGGTAGGCGCGGGTGTTATGGGATGGGTAGGCAGGGAGCTATGGGATAGGCAGACAGAGGAGATGGGTAGGCGCGGGTGTTATGGGATGGGTAGGCAGGGAGCTATGGGATAGGCAGACAGAGGAGATGGGTAGGCGCGGGTGTTATGGGATGGGTAGGCAGGGAGCTATGGGATAGGCAGACAGAGGAGATGGGTAGGCGCGGGTGTTATGGGATGGGTAGGCAGGGAGCTATGGGATAGGCAGACAGAGGAGATGGGTAGGCGCGGGTGTTATGGGATGGGTAGGCAGGGAGCTATGGGATAGGCAGACAGAGGAGATGGGTAGGCGCGGGTGTTATGGGATGGGTAGGCAGGGAGCTATGGGATAGGCAGACAGAGGAGATGGGTAGGCGCGGGTGTTATGGGATGGGTAGGCAGGGAGCTATGGGATAGGCAGACAGAGGAGATGGGTAGGCGCGGGTGTTATGGGATGGGTAGGCAGGGAGCTATGGGATAGGCAGACAGAGGAGATGGGTAGGCGCGGGTGTTATGGGATGGGTAGGCAGGGAGCTATGGGATAGGCAGACACAGAGGGGATGGGTAGGCAGGGGGGTTATGGGATGGGTAGGCAGGGGGCTATGGGATAGGCAGACACAGAGGGGATGGGTAGGCAGGGGGCTATGGGATAGGCAGATACAGAGGGGATGGGTAGGCAGGGGGCTATGGGATAGGCAGACACAGAGGGGATGGGTAGGCAGGGGGCTATGGGATAGGCAGACACAGAGGGGATGGGTAGGCAGGGGGCTATGGGATAGGCAGACACAGAGGGGATGGGTAGGCAGGGGGCTATGGGATAGGCAGACACAGAGGGGATGGGTAGGCAGGGGGCTATGGGATAGGCAGACACAGAGGGGATGGGTAGGCAGGGGGCTATGGGATAGGCAGACACAGAGGGGATGGGTAGGCAGGGGGCTATGGGATAGGCAGACACAGAGGGGATGGGTAGGCAGGGGGCTATGGGATAGGCAGATACAGAGGGGATGGGTAGGCAGGGGGCTATGGGATAGGCAGACACAGAGGGGATGGGTAGGCAGGGGGCTATGGGATAGGCAGACACAGAGGGGATGGGTAGGCAGGGGGCTATGGGATAGGCAGACACAGAGGGGATGGGTAGGCAGGGGGCTATGGGATAGGCAGACACAGAGGGGATGGGTAGGCAGGGGGCTATGGGATAGGCAGACACAGAGGGGATGGGTAGGCAGGGGGCTATGGGATAGGCAGACACAGAGGGGATGGGTAGGCAGGGGGCTATGGGATAGGCAGACACAGAGGGGATGGGTAGGCAGGGGGCTATGGGATAGGCAGATACAGAGGGGATGGGTAGGCAGGGGGCTATGGGATAGGCAGACACAGAGGGGATGGGTAGGCAGGGGGCTATGGGATAGGCAGACACAGAGGGGATGGGTCTGGCCCTGGCTGAGGACATCCACGCCCTCCGGGCAGCTTGGCCTGGACACATTGTTCACCGTTCGCAGGCTCACGTGTGAGCGGGCAGGGGCCAGCCGGGTAGGGGGGTGGAGACAGAGGCCTTTTGGGGACTGCAGGGGTCAGTGGGGAGCCAGGACTTCTGGGAGGGAAGTGGGGAATAGTGGTTAGAGCGGGGGGGCGGCTGGGAGCCAGGACTCCTGGATTCTCTCCCCAGGTCTGGGAGGGAAGTGGTCTCTAGTGGTTAGAGCAGGGGGCCCGGGAGCCAGGATTCCTGGCTTCTACCCTGCAGGCCCGAGAGGGTTAAACTCTTTCTCTGGCTTTAATAGAGCATTTAGCTCCAGCGTGGGAACAGGCAGCGCACGTTCACCCAGGGTGGGAAGGAAGCCAGCGTGGTCCTGCCTAGAGCAGCTCCCCCTCCAGCCCCTCTGGTCTTGTGGTGGGGGGTGAGCCTGGCGGTGGCTCACATCCAGATGTGAACAGCTGCATGCCTTCCTTTCCCAGCCTCCGCGCCCCGCCCCCCCAGGATCTGCAGTGGAAAACTGGCCTGGATCCAGGGGACCGTGAATTTCCTCCTCTGGGAAGGGAACATCTCGCCAGTGCAAGGACGAGGCCGTTAGCTCACCCTGGGGACACCCCATCTGAGCCCCCCATCCTTCCAGGGTAGGCCCGGCCCGGCCGCCGGCTTCCCCACAGAGCTCCGGCGTGGCGGGCCCCGTCTCGGCTCGCGATGCCTCGCAGCTACTGTGCATCTTGGACCCGTTGCCGGGGCGAGCCCCCCACCCCACGTCGGCGGAGGGGGAGAGAGGAGTTCACACCCTCTCTCCAGCACATCTGGACCAGGGGGGGCGCCCAGCTGCAATCTCTTCCCCTTGCTTTATTTGCTCAGAGAGGCAGCTGTGGGGGGGAAAGGATTTTATTGGCTTCGAAGGAGGAATCCAGGCCTGAGCGCATCCAGAAGTCACGCTGGAAACGTCCGACAACGGACCAGGCCTCGGGAGCTGCAGGTGGGCTCCGAGGGTGGAGAAGAGCACGTCTCCTTGGGACCAACCCTTCGGGAAGGGCCCTTTGCCGATCGTGGCCGCGCCAGGCAGGATGGAATCACAGCAGGCCCTCTCCTTCATGCCCACCAGGCTGAGGTAGGACCAAGTCAACCTAGACCCTCCCAGACAAGTTCCTAGACCCCTCCAGCGATGGTACATCCATGACCCCCCCTCTCCCCCGAGGAGCCTGTTCCAGCCGTGAGCTTAGGTCTGGAAAGCTTTCCTGAGAGCCAGCCCTTGTTGCAAACAGCGAATTCCTTTGTCCACCCCTTGCTGGCGCTGGCGACCTGATCAGTGGCCACCAGCCATTGGCTTCTCTGATGTTCGGCTCACGCTCCTTGGCTAGATCCCGTCTAGGTGCTTTGCTGCCCATGACGTGCAGCTCCCTTGAGAATCCGGGCCTTCGCTAAAGAAGCAGAGAGAAGGATCTGGATTGGCACTCACAGAAGAGAGACTTGTCTGTCCTCGTCTCCTGCCGCCTTTGGAAACTTCCAAGCACTTCAACCCAAGGGCGCAGAGTTTGTAAAACTTCATAAAACTCCCTGAGATTCATCACTCTGGCCCCACGGGTCCCACACATTCTGACGGTAGACTCACCAAATCCCAGCCAAACAGCAAGGGTGAAGGAGTCAAGCAACAGCAGTTGAGAAAGTCGCATTTCCCCACCCGGACAGCTGGATGGAGCTTGCAACCTCTGTCTGCTAGTCATCTCTGGACCAAAGCAGTCCTGCGCTCCGGCAGCGAAATATTGGAATGCCGCGTTACCTTGCGTTTGACTGAAACAAGCCGCCGCCTCCAGAGAAATAGATGCTTGATCAAAAGAAAAATAATAACTAACGGCAGCAAGTTTTTTGTAGCTCCCAGAAACTAAGGAAATTCCCAGACAAAAAAAGTTGTTAAGGTCACAACCAATTCACTTACAAAACAAACCACCAGCAGGTGTGAAATATTGAAAGTCACAATAAAGATAAATGTTTGAAATACCAGGAACTGCATACCATTTCAACAAATACCCGTAGTTCTGGCATGTCTATGGACACACCTCTAGTTATCGGTCAATATTGTGTCCAGTGACCAAACTGCTCCTTAATATCAAAACATCTGAGCTGTCTCTCATTCACAGTTTGTGCTCCACAGCGGGAAGACCATAAAACAACGCAGGTTATCTCAGGACTGCGTTTGTCTGTGTTTTATGATATTTAGAGTTAGTTCATGTGAGAAATGCATCAGTATATATACGCCCATAAACACCCTCTCAAATTTATAAAGGGGATCGGTCAATCCAGAGAGAAAGACTTCCGCTCCAAAGTGGAATAAAATTCATATGGTTTGTAACCCAGATTGTGCTGGTCAAAAGATGGTAGCGGTGAAAGAGGAGAATTGAAATTAATGAATTAATTACCATCAGTGCCTTTCTGTTATTCTCCTCAACTAAATGTGTGCTTTTCAAAATTTCAAAATTTGCAATTTTTGAAAATTTCAAAATGTGCACTTCTCAAAATGTCAAAATTTGCCCTTTTTGAAATTTCAAAATTTCACAATTTTGGCCATCTCAAAAGTTGCAATTTTCAGAATCGCAAAATTTCCAAACTCAGTTCCTCTCTCAGGCTTTGTTTTCCTAGACTAAAAAAGCCAGTCTCTCCAAGTCTCTCCTCATAAGATTGGCTTCCCATGCCTCTGCTCGTCCGCGAAGGCCTTTTCTGCACCTGTCCATCTCAGAATTTTACTTTCTTTTCCATGGGTGCCCAGAACTGAGCACACGAGTCCAGAGGAGGCCCTTGTCTGATGGCATTAGCACTTGCCAATCTTTTCCTGGTCAAAGTCAGAAATGTCGACATGTTCCTATCAAATTAGCACCATTCAAAACAGTTTCGGTTAACTTCACCCTCAACCAAAATCTCCTTGACTTCTCCCAAGAGACCTCATCCACCCTGCAAAACCAGACACTGATGGCCATCTCCCATGTATTTATACCCGCCTGAAATGATCCCTCCTAAGAAAGCAAAGGCTATTTTGTCCTATCTCCCATGCCCTAGCCCTAAATATATTCATGAAGATAGAAACCTAGAACAAGTGGCTGACCCTCCTTCACAACTATGGCACCCTGGCTGTAGTGACAGAGGGAAGTATGCGCACTTGCAGTGTTTCACAAACTTTTTGGTCTGGGAATTTCCTTAGTTTTTAAACTTTTTAAATTATTTCCCCACAGGGAATGCTAAAGTCCAGGGCTTTTAGGGAGCCAGTTTTGGGGAGACAGGATCAGAGAGTTAGATTCCTTCTTTCTTTTTCTTCCATCTTGCTAGAGGAGGCAGGGAATCCTCTCTCTTTCTCTGTCCCACTGTCTCGGTTTTAGATCAGGTACAGCAGGCAAGCCAAGAGGACAAGGGTGCTGACAGCAGCAGAGGCAGCATGGCTGGCCCAGACTTCGTCAGGGTGCTTTTGTCCTATGATATTTGCCACGTCGCGAGATTTCCGGCCCTTGGACTCCTTGATGAACTCTATATTAGGGACATATTCCTGGATCCAGTTCTGATAGGAGGTGAGGCGGCTATAGACTCCGGGGCGGTTTTTGATGGCACAGCCTTCGCCCCAGCTGACAACTCCAGCCAGCACCCAGACATCCCCTACTATGCACATCATGGGGCCTCCAGAGTCACCCTAAGGAAGAGAGGGAGAAGATTTAGTGCCCTGGGATGGGAGAATTGAAATTAATTAATTGATAATTAATGAGGTCATTAATTTATTTGTCAGTACCTTCCTGTTATTTTCTGCATATAAACTTGCACTTTTCAAAATTTAAAATTTTCAAAATTTCAAAATTTCAAAATTTTCAAAATTTCAAAATTTCAAAATTTGAAAATTTTCAAAATTTGCAATTTTCAAAATCTCAAAATTTTCAAACTCAGTTCCTCTCTCAGAGTTTGTTTTCCTAGACTAAAAAAGCCAATTTGGGGTATGGGAGCTATTCTGAGCTTGACAAAGACCTCCTGCCTCAGCAGGGCCCTGATCTCAGACCGGGCCTGTACACAATGGGAGCTTCTCTCTCAGTCAGAAGGGCTTGTGCAGATGGGAGCTATGAAATTGGGCAGCTGCATATTCACAGCAGGGCTCCAAAGGGATGGCTGCTCCAGAACTAAAATGCAGCCACCTCTGGGGTGGGGATTGGCAGGTGGATAAAAGTTGCACTGGGATGCTGCAAAGGGATTGCTTGCACAGAAGCCAGGCCTTGTCTGGTGGCCATAACCCTGGGCCCATTGCCACCCCGCCTACTCCCTGGGCTGGGAGCCAGGACTCCTGGGGTCTCTTCCTGGCTCTGGGAGGAGAGTGGGAGCTAGTGGTTAGAGAAGGGGTTGGGGGCCAGCACTCCTGGGGTCTCTGGCCCCTGGGCGCTCACATTGCAGGCGTCCCTCAAGCCCTCAGCGTAGCCGGCACAGATCATGTCGTCCTGGATGTCTCTGTAGGGTGGGCGGTTGACCCCGTTGGTGCGGTACAGGGACTTGCACGTCTTGGTGTCGATGATGGGGACTTGCAGCTTCTGCAGGGTCTGCGGGGACGGCAGGTCCACTGCAAGGGTACCAAGAGCCACGGTGAGGGGCTTGCTGTCTGCCCCAGCCCCTTCCCTGTCCCCTTGCGCTCCCCCGCCCCATCCTTCCCTCTCGACAGTTTGTTCCTCCCTTTCCTGGCTCTTCCCTGCTCTCCTGCAGCCCCTTTCCCTGGCTTTCCCCCTGCCCTGGCTCTCTGGTGCCCCTGCTCCCTTCCCGCTCTTTCATTCCTCCTCGCCGGCCCCCCGGCTCCATGCTGCCCTGCAGTCCTTCCTCTGCACAGTCTCTGTGTCCCTGCCCCCGACTTTCAGCCTCTGCCGGCCAAGCGCTGGCTCTGGTAACGCGCCTCCTCTCGCTTTCTTCCTTTGCTCTCTTTACGTGCTGGGTTTCTCTCTTGCTCGCTGTCTTGCTTTCTCTTCTCCCTCCCATCTTGCTGGCCCCACGTTGCCCGGGCCTATCCCAAGGCCCCATGCCCGCTGCGGGGGACCCGTGCCGACCTACCCCAGGGCCCCAGCCGGTCACCCAGCACTCTTTGCCCGGCGGGAATCGGATGGAGGTGTCCGGGAGGCAGATGGGCAGGATGTAGTCGCTGAAATTGACCGGCGTGGCCAGCTGGATCAGGGCGATGTCCCCGCTCGTGGTCTGCCCGGCGTAGTTGGGGTTGGGGATGATGCGCTGCACAGGGCAGGCGCGCGAATGGGGGCCCGGGTTCTGCAGCTGGAGGATCCCCAGCACCACCCGGTACTGGGTCAGGTTCCGGAGCCTGGGGGGAGAAACCCAGCAGGGC